ATGGTAAAGCCTTCCTATGAGGCAGTAAAAGGCCCTGACTCTGTGCCCCTAGAATGGACAAAAGTAACTGACAACACCTTTAGAAAAATAAAGCATGCCCTTACTCCGGCTCCAGCACTGAGAAAACATGACTTTAACAAACAAACCAAAAGCCTTCTTTTTATTTTTTTGGTTTTTTTGAGACAAGGTCTCACTATGTAGTCGAGACTGACATGGAACTCATTATGTAGCCCAGGTTGGTCTTGAATTCACAGAGATCCTCCTGCCTCAGCCTCCTGAGTGCTGGGATTACAGGCATGTGCTACCACGCCCAGCTAAAAGCCTTCTTTATGTATAAGAAAAGGCTAAATCTTGAAAACAGGCCAACTGCCCATTCACTGGAGACTAGATAAGATTAAAAAAAAAAAAAGGAGTACTACTCAGCCATAAAGAATGAGAAACTTGAGACATTTATAGCTAAGTAGATGCACACTGAGGCCATAATCTTAAGTGAAATTAATAGGACGCACATGTAAATACTGAATAATTTCTCTGGTGTGAAAATTTAAAAGTGTTAATAAGAATCAAAGTCTATAAATGATATTGTATAATAGGAAGAAAAGGTCTAAAGAAGTAGGGGAAGTGGGAGGAGTAGGGGAAAGGTAAGAAGGGAAAAGAAAATTATGAGAAAAGGAAAAACATGGAAACAAAGTCTTTGTAAATAGATAGGGTGGAGTGGGTGAGGAGAGGGCAGGGGAATGGGGAAAAATAAGAACCAAGATATGCTATGTAAAGGTACAAGATCCCAATGATTAATGTAACTGTACTGTACACCTAAATTGTACCAATAAATGTAATTGAAAAAATTGATAAAATTGAATAAAAGCTTTTTTATGCCATTTAATATCTTGTGATTAGATAAAGATAGCTATGACTGACTATAAGGTTGTTTTATACTGTTAAACATTTAAACATTTTACAGAGACAATAACAAAACCTAACGGTTCTAGTATAATAATATCATCATTATACTAAAATGTTATGATCTCAAGTTTTCTCTATAAAAGTTTATAATTATTAACATTGTACAGAGATTCAACTTCTAAGACAATCATGGTTAATAAGAAAAAACAGGGGCCGGTTTGGTGGCCTGCCTTGCAAGCGCAAGGACCTGAGTTCAATCCCTGGTACCCCCCTCCAAAAAGAAAAGAAACAACAGTTCCCTGGATCATGTTATCTACCTGAAAGTGTCTAATCCCTAAAGAAAATCATAAAATTAAATTTATTGCTCTCATCACAATGCTATAACTCAGCTTAACAACTGATGTTTAGAGATCAGAGCTAAAAAGATAATTGGACTATGAAGACAGCCAATATTTTGGCCCCAACCCTCCAAGGTTAACAAGGACCCAAGACAAAAGGGGACCTTTCTACAAGATCCTACAACTTTGTTTAGTCACTTAACCCCCTGAGCAAGGAGATTGTTGGACCCCAAAGAACAAGCATCAACTGCTGTACAGTGTGGTAAAAAGGAGGGCCACCAGAAAAAAAGGCCTCTCCTGCTTCTATGAGAAGCCACATGGTCAGGTAAGGCCATGACCCATCCTGGCTTCTCACACTGACAGAGGAGCCAAGAGGCTCTACACATGGTCCCAGAAGAAACCCTGGAGAGCCTTAACTGACCTTGATATTTTGACCAATACAGGTCTCATTTCAGTTCAGTCTTAAACACTCAGCCAAAAAAAAAAAAAAAAAAAAAAAAAAAAAATAACCAAATGGATAAAAGTTACATTAATATAGACTAGACATAAACAGGGGGCTCCAATCACTAACCCCAGCCACACCAGGAGATAGATCTGAGAGCAAGCTGGTTACAACTGTCCTTTCCATACTAGTGCTCATGCTTTGGTCATATGTGCTTTCATCTCTCGATAGGGTTTGCTTGTTCTCACCCAAGGGAAACCAAACTCCAAGTGATCACACAGATGGTCCTCAGTGCAGCCAGCCATCTCCATCCCTCTACCACGGTTCATACAATTGACCTCCCAATGGACATCATTCACTGCTTCAGCGGATGCCCCATTTCAGCCTTAAGTGGCCAGAATGGTTGTTACCCCTAAGTCCAACAGTAGTTGGATGGTCGTTTCCAGAGGGAGAAACGTAGGGACAGGTGAGATCCCTAGTCAGGATTAGATACAGGACCAGGCCCTTTAAGAAGTAGAGGAGACATGACCCCTGTGTCACAGCAAACAACTGAGCTAACAGTCTGCAGTTTCACACTTGTGTCTACATAGCATCAATGCTATCAACATGCAGATGGTTCTACAGATGGGATCACTCGGAAGCCTCAACGTTCCAGAAGGTAGAGAGAGCTAACCAGATCCTAAAGTGAGCCCTGGCAAAACTTTGCCAGGAGACATCTGGTTCCTGGGTCCAATTACTACCAATAGCACTTACGAGGGTTTATAACATGCCTAAAACTGGGCTAAGTTTGAGCCCATCTGAGATGTTATATAAAAGGCCATTTCTATCCTCTGATATGATAGTAGACTACAAGACTCTTACTATAGCTCATCAATTTGGGTCAAGTACAACAAGCTATCCAAATGTATGGGAACAAAGTCCTGCCGGCTCCTGGCCCAGGGGGACCACCTAGTGTCTACCCTGGAGACCAAGTGCTTGTGAAAATTTGGAGAGAGGGAACACGAGCAGACTGGTTAAAGCCAAAATAGAAAGGCCCCTTTTCAGGGATCCTTGCAACACCCACTGCAGTTACAGGTAGCAGAGATAGATAAATGGATTCATCTTTCTACATTAAAACTAGTCCCACCTGAGCTGTCTAAAAAACAAGATCATCCAAAAGGAAAAAGCTACTTCTGTGAACCTCTGGAAGATTTGAGATTTCTCTTCAAAAAGCAAGGCTCCAGTGCTGCTACAGATAAACAAATAAGATCTTGCTAAGGCCATGGCTCTCAGACTCTTGATAATTTATCTGACATACCTCTCTAATATATGTTCTTCTCTACAGGAAGCACGAAAATCTGACCTGCTCCTCACATTTGAGCAAATAAAGTTTTTTCCCTCCCATCAGTCAGCACGAGGGTCACGAACTTTTTTCTCATTATTTTCTGACAGGTTCTATTTTCTTCAACCCAGACAAGAGCCACAGTACCCCAAGGAAGTTGCAGAGTACATAATCCCTAATAGGTAGGGTCTAAAGTCCCTTGAGGAAGATACAGAAGACAGAGACCACCTCTCCTTCAACACCTTTTAAAGATCTATAGGATTCATGTCTTTTTGGGGGAAATTATATAGGAGATGGGGCATGGCAAAGCTGGCTGGGGAAATAGGTAAGATCTGTCAACTACAAGATCCCAGGCCAGTGCCAAATAATTCTCAGGACCTTGTATGTGAACTTCTTGGAGGCTCTTATGAGATGTGGATGGAATAAAAGAGATGGGATGTATGAGGCGCCCCCTACTGTGACTCTTCAGGGCAGCCCACCCTATATCTAGTCTGTCTCCTACATGCAGGGCGTACTTTTATTTTTGCTTGTATTTTTTTCTCTCTATGTTCAGCCCAAATTTGCTCTACAGATCTAGTCTTCCCTTACCCCATTCATCTCTCACTTTTCAAATAAACTTTTGACATTGTTTTTAGCTTGTCACATCCAATTCTTTGTCTGAGGCAAGAAGGACCTGAAATACTTTCAACTGGCAAGCCATTTCTAAAGGACCACAAGGTGACCAAAGGCTCAGCTGTCACTATCTGGAATTCTCAGGGTCTCTGAACTCAAGCTTTGTTAAGTAAGGCCCTGTGGGACATGGGAACATGGGCACAAGCAGAGGAAACACACCCACATCTGCCCACCGTCCTTGCCATATCTTTACTCCTTGAGCACAGAATCCTGGCAGATCACAACATGCAGGTCAGTAAGACAGCAACCAAGTGTGTGAAGATACATTCATCACGTTGGCGGTGACAGAGAAAGGAACATGGACAGAGCACAGGCCTTATGTTGTACCCAGACATGCTTCCAAAGCAGAAGGAAGGCAATGACCCTTAAACAACAGAAACAACGGGAGCCCTGTCACCCATTCTTACTTGGATTCCTTGCTGGTTGGAGGCAGTCACCTCACTAACAAGGGAGACACAGGACAAAGAAAACAAAGGCTACTGCATAAGTCCTGCTAGCAGTCTCTCCTTACTCATCAGTACACTGCAGGCAGAGTGCAGTTATTAAAGAGGAAAATAACTCTGGAAATAACTGGGTGAGTTTGAGCAGCATCTCTACTGCTAAGTACATGTGCATGCCAAAAGATGAATTGTGCACATTCTTATGCATATTTGCATTTAAAACGTGTTTGGGGCTCGGGGAGCAGCCTGGTGGCAGAGCCCTTGTCTAGAACGTGCAGAACCCTGGGTTCAATCCCCAGCATTGCAAAATGGGAACTGTGCACGTGAAGATGGGAGATAAGATGTATGCTAATAATAAATTTAAATTTTTTCTTAATGTAAAACATTAAATAGGAAATATCTTATCAAATTAAGAAACAATGAAAGAAAGGAAAAAGCTATTTTAGTTCCCCTGCTTCTCACTGGGATGTGTGGCCTCCTTCCAACTTCATACCCTCTGCAGGCCTTGCCCTGAGACCTTCTTAGGACCTTATGCTTCTCTGAGAACATCACCTACGCCTGGCTACACACCAGTCCCTCCTGCACAGGCAGAGAGAGGCATCCTCAGATGAGGCTTGCTAACCCAAGAGAAGTGAGAAAGGAGTTCCCGACCAGACAGTTGGCTTTGCTTGTGTCCTGTGCTGGGAGCATCCTTCTTTCTCACCTGTACCCAGGAGCTGCTGCACAGGAGTCCCCTCCAGGGGGATATAGAGGCCCTGGGCCTGCACCTATCTGGCCTCTCTGTGTGTCCCTCCTCTCTGGCACTGTGCTGCCATTATATGCCTTCCCTCCCTGCACTGTGACCTAGAGGTCAGGGCAGAGCGCCCAGGGTGGGAGAGACTTACTCGAGGAACCTGGTGATATACTCGCTGCTGCAGCGGGACCAGGTGAGCTGAGCGGAGTCGAACAGGAGCTGTGGAGACATGATGAAATGTGGTTTCCCAACAGTCTCACAGTCATTGCCGTTTCCGTCATGGTGCATGCCAAAACTGTGTGAGAGCACAGGCCCCAGGGGCAGGTGAGCCAGGGGAGGCCATGGGCCATGGGCCTCCCCAAGGGTCCCCTAGGCTGCCTCTGCCACTGAATGGCTCTGATGGCCACATGCCCTCTCTGAGCTATTTCCTTAGTGCCCAATGTGGGTATGATCACTGGCATCCCCCGAGCTCTGCTGTCAGGTATGTTAGCCTGAGCCTGACACAGGGCCAGGGACCCAGAGCAGCTCTGTCCGTGCCCCTGAGGTAGCTAACAATGGAGAGAGAGTAGGTAGCATGGCTGGGAATCGGTAATGTAATACTCCTCCTCAAGACTCTTTCAGAAGTGCCATCTCCCCAGTCCTCACCATTACTCTCTGAGGGCTGAGAACCGAGCCCAGGAACAGCTAGGAAGTGGCAGAATTGGGCAGAGAGCTCTCGACTAATGCCTTCACAGTCCTAGGTGTGGCTGTCACCAGAACATCTGAGTGACTCCACTTCTTGTCCTGACCTGACCAGCCTGCTGGACATCTATATTCAGCAGCTAAGCAACCTGGGCCCAGATGGCAGAGGGTATGAGCCATGCTCCGGATGAGCTCTAGGCCCAGGTGTCAGATGGGGCATTTTGGACATCACTGTGTCTACCCCTCAATCTATAGGGAGCATACAGAGTGCCGGGGCTGGCACTTGTCCAGGTCACAGAGCAGAAGTAAAGGGACAGCTAAGGGCTCTAGGCCCACCTTAAACCCCTTTCAATAAGACCCCACCAGCTCAGCCTCAGATATGCCCTGCAGACCTCCCTCCTGCTCAATAGGGAAGCAGCCTGGTGGAGGGATGGGTGGGGACAGCACAGGGGGCTATATGTGGCCTGGTGCAGTTGGGTTTCCCACCCAAGAAAGTTTCATCAGGATTTCCTGACCTATGGATCTGGCTGGCTGGTGCCCCAGCTTGGGAAGCTGAAGCTGGGATCTGGGGTGGCAGAAGGAGAGGTGTGGTACCTGTGCCCGAGCTCATGGGCCACGGTGAAGGCCAGTGGCAGGCCAGTGTCCTCGCTGACGCTGCAGCTGCGGTTCAGATGGCACATTCCCCCGATGTGGGACAGGCCCAGGGTCTCGCAGGGCAGGTTCATGGCTAAACACAAGTCCTTCCTGCACAGGTGGAGAGATGCAGCGTTCAGAGTAGGCCAGGCAGGGCCCATGCTCACCCAAGAGAGGGCTTGAGAAGGATGCCCCTTGCCATTCTGTGACATCAGGCCAACATGGCAGCCACTGGGAAGTAGGTGCCCTCAGTCACACACAACCCACCAAACACTCTTGTGGGCCTAGGGTACAGATAAGTGCCCAGAACAGGTTTGATTCTGTCTCAGTTAAGGTGCTGATAGAAGCTGCCGGCACTCAGCAGAGGAAAAGTAAGTCCACCTGCAGCTCAAACACATGGCCTCTGGTCAAATGAAGAGATGTTAGAGGTGGGGGATAGGTGGGCAGCTGTGACAAGCAGGTGGCCCGAGACAGCCTTCTGATGCAACCGCTCTGTATGGGGACTGTGAGGGTAGACATGTGAACCTACATAGTGATAAAATGCACTGCCCTGAACACATGTGCACGCAGGCGCACACACACACACATGTACACAAGGAGGCCTGATAAGATCTAAGTGGACTATATCCATAAGGACCTCCTGCTTGGGATACTGCACTGCAGCCGTGCAGGATGTTACCAGCGGGAAAATGGCACGGAGGAGAGACAGGGCCTCTCTGCATTGTTTCTAACAACCTAACGCAAATCCATAATTACTGTGAAACAGAAAAATTCCCCAATGCTGATAGAATCCAGTTTAAGCCAAAGCCATGCAGACACACCACCCCTCTACCCCCAGTTCCTCCCTTGGAGGGCAGCCTTCCTGCCTCAACCTTCCCATGGCAGGTGTACCTGGTGAGCAAGACAGCTGTGTCATGGTGCTGGGGGTGGGTGTCCCCATTCATGTTGATGTTACTTTGCCACTTGCAGAAGCTTCTCAGGGTGTTTTCTGCGTGGTGTGTTATCGTTAAGTCCTTCTGTGACAGAGAGAATGACCACTTATGCCTGCCCTGGACTCCTACAGGACAGGCCCAATTCTCACCATACAAAGGCCAGAGGCAGAAGCCTGGGGGGTCAGTGGAGGACAAGCAGTCAGCCTCCAGCCTCCACCCTTCCTGCAGGTACTTCTGGGCCACCAGCACCAGAGACCCAACAGAAGGAGAGTCAGGGACTAGAGGGTAACAGAGAAAACTGTTCAGGCCCAGGGCCTTTGCGGTGCATTTCCATATATGGCAATGTAGGGTACAGGCAGGAGGGCTCAGTAGCCAGTGCCCACTGCCAGGATGCAGAATGGGGCCACACGATCTCTTACCTCTTCATCTTCCAGCAGGATCAGGCGCACAATGGTGATGTGGATGGGGTTCCCAACGCTGGGGTCATGAAACAGGCCAGCCACCTGTCCAAGAGATGGGGCTTGTTATGGTTTATATCTAGATGTCCCCAAAGAGCCTCATTTACTCAGTGGTGGGCTTTTGTAAGGTGACTGGATTATGGGGTCTTATAGATGACTTGTTATCAGGAGCTAGTCCTGGGCAGAAGATGCAGGTCCCTGGGGTATGGCCTGGAAGCATTTATCTCTTGCCCTAGCTCCCAATTTCTCTCTGATTTCTGTCTGCCATGACATGAGTAGCTTCTCCTCTGCCATGCTGTCCTGCCTTGGAGCCAGCTCATCATAGACTGAAATGTGAGCCAGAAAAAACCCTCTCCACTTTAAATTGTGGATGTTGGGTATTTTGTCCCAGCAATGAAGTAAGTGACTAGGAATTTGATACCAGAGAAGTGGTTTTGTTGCCATGACACTACTTGACCAGGAGGTTCAGAAGCCTTTGGAAATGGTTCACAGAAGTTTGAAAAGGTCTGAAGATGATTAGAGATTCTGGGCAGAGCTCAGAAGACCAGAATGCTGATAAGAAGGCAGACAGTAAAGACCAGGCTCAGGAGGTTTCAGTAGGGAACAAAGACTCCATTGACATTTGGACTCCAGACCATGTATGTTATGCTCTGGCAGAAAATTTATCTACATTTTGCTCATGTCCTGAGGCTTTTCAGGAGAAACAAATTAAGGAAAGAGGATTAATTAATCTGGCAGAGGTAGTTTCAAGGCAGCCCAACCTTTAGGCTGTGGCAGGGGTACTGCTGAGGGCTTTTAGCCTGCTCTACACTGAGAATCAAGAGCAAATAGCACAGCTGAGTGATTTTAGAAGTTCCCATTGAAAAGGAAAGGTCCTACAAAGTTGAGGTCTGTAAATATGGAAACAGGAGAACCTGGATGAAAAGATTAGCATTAAAAAGAAACCAAGTACTTTGAATCAGGACAATAGGAAAAATGGATTAATGGCATGTAAGGAATCAGCAAGACCCCAAACTTCTCAGGCTCAAAATTGCAAAAGTGAAAGACTTTGCTTTGAGAAGAGAGCCTTAGGGTACCCTGTAGAGAGAAGACACCTAGGAAACTGGCTTCCTGGGATTCTGTTCATGGTGCTCAAACATCCAGGCACTTGGAGGCCCCTGCAGCCACGATGCAAAAGGGCCTGGCTACTGTTAGACTTGGCATCATTCATGTGGTGTCGGTTTTAAAGGCATGGATGATACAAGAGTTGTACAATCATGGAGACTTTCAGCAGATTTTAGAAAAAGGCCTGGGAGGCCAGGCTGTGTATCCCTGAGAGGGCTGTATGTGAAGATGTGAGAGCGAAGCCAAAAGCACAGTGGTGACTCCAGGAAGATGGAGAAGCCAGGAACAGGGAATGTCTGAGGAAAGCTATAAGCAATCAGCAGAGTCACCCCAAGAGAAAAGCCACGAGGTCTACAATCACTGGCAATGACTAGAGGTGGGGTTGTCCAAACTATTTGAAGTTCACATTATACCACAGATTGCCCTGGGTGCTGGGCACAGAGTTACAAGATTTAATGTTTGCCCTTCTGTGTTTTAGAGTTGCTTTGGTCACATTGCTTTTTATCTCCATTCTTCCCTTTTGGAAGAAGAATGTTTACCTTGTGCCACTGTATGGCAGCGGTGTTTAACTTTTTTTGATTTTTACAGGGGCTCAAAGCTAAGTTTGCCTTAAGCCTCAGAGGGGACTTTGGACTTTTTAGCAATACTGAAACTGTTAGATCTTTGGCAATTTTTAGAGACAGACTGAATGCATTTTACAAAAAGGATGTGCACGAGTCTTGCAGGGGATAGGGGTGGAATGTTATGGTGTATATGAAGATGTCCTCCAAGATCCTCATGTGCTTACAGGTAGGGCTTTTAGAACACGGTTGCATTGTGGAAGCTCATAGCTGGAGAGAGGCAGGGCTATGCAGAGGCCTGTATGGGGCTGCTGAGAGCACGAGGGCTGAGATCTTTCTCCAGTGGCCCTAGGAGCAGCCTGGTTGCTCAAAGGCTCAGGGAGGGCACTACTGGCCCTGCCATCCAGCTCTGGGATCCACAGTGCTCCATGTCAGGGAGCCCTAACAGACTTGGTGCCCATGTAGCTCTCTAGTGCTCTGCTGGGTGGCAAGCCACTCACTTCTTGGGGCCCTGTTGACTCAAGTATCATGTGGGACTAAGAGCAGATTTTCAGCCCCCTGAGGTCCTACCCTCCTCCCTCATTCACGGATGAGCTACTTGCTCAAAGTAACCAGATGACTGACCAAGAACTGAATAGATTCCTCTCTTTCTAATGCATGTACAAGTCTAGGCAGGGCACATCTGTGTCCCCAGCACCCAGCACAGGTCTGGACACAGAAGAGGGTTTACTTCAGGGCAGGATGAATGAACCACATGGTCCATGAGCTTCCCAGTTAGCACAGGACAGTGACCATCTTGGTGTCCCCTTCCCTTCCCAAGTGCCAGCTGGATAAGTAAGTGCTGCCTGGCACCCTAGGTGTCCAATATCAGGGGAGGGACATGTGTCATGCAGGTGGATGATGTCTGTGCCGTGCTGCTGCTCTCTCCTGGTGCCCCATCAGGCCGTGTCCCCCCATGGACTTGGGAACCTGGAACTGCTTCCTTCCTGCTTGGAGCCTAGACCCAGGTCTGGGGTGCAGCCTGCTAGCCACTCTGCCCCACACCCACCTTGAATGCCATCCACTGCAGTGCCTTGCCTCCCACACCAAGTATCATCGCTATCACTGCGATGGCCTCACCATATTCATGATGGTCAGCACATAGTTCTCCACCTGCAGCCGCCCGTGGTATTTCACCATTTCAGTATCAGCCACCACCAGGGTTTCTACCCACTTCTCCTTGCTGACCGAGCCATTGTATAAACGCTTCTGCCGCTGTGGCTTCCATGGATGTGAGTGCTCCCAGTCCTCTTCTTGACGCTCCAGCTCTGGGGACACTAAAGACCCAATGGGGGGGGGTTAGATGGCCCACGGCCCATGTCCCTAGGGCCTTTCCCCAATGAGCTGTCTCTGGCACAGTGGGAACAGAACTGAATCAGAAGGGAGAGGCTCAATTCCCTTTCTGGGGCTGCCCCAGACTGCACTGCGTGGCCTTTGCCTGGTGATTTGCTTTCTCTGATCCTGATTTCTAGGATCACTCCTAGAAATAGGATTAGTTGATGTACCTTCAGGGTGACCTTGCCCATATAAGGCTGGCCTGTCTCCTTGCGTTTCTTTCCCTGATACCATATGCAGACCCCTGGTCTAACCTCTCTACCCTGGAAGGACCAAGACTCAATTTAGCTGACCCCACTTGAGGGTCTGCTGCCCTGAGGAAGCACACTCACAAAGCTGGGAAAACTGAGGCTGAGAGGTGTGTTTGTGTGGACAACTTTTCCAGCAAACAGAGACCGGAGTGGTGGGCAGCTTGAGGTTAGGGTTAGCCAAGCAGTCCTCAGACTTCAGCAGCCCTCAGTAGTCAGCTCTTTTCTTGGACTGGTTGTCACTATGGCCACTCTGTAGAGGGGGCCCTAGGTACTGTACTCTTGGTTCCCAGTGACACAGCCAGTTGTTCTCAACACAGAACAGGGAGGGGAGGGAGCATCTGGCCAAGGGCCCTGCTGGGGCTGGCCAAGACACGTGAGGAATAGTGGTTGGCAGAGTCAGTGATGCTATAGCCGTGTGGAGGGGGAAAGGAGAGAGACAGACGTGGAGTGCGGGGCGAGAGCAGGTCAGGCCAGGTCCAGAGGCATCTAAAGACCCAGACTATGGCAACATTTCTGCCTGTCCTTCTAAGTGCCTAGGCCCTCCAGTGCCACAAGATAGGGGATGAGCATACCTTGTACCCCACAGGTGTGTGAAGCCTGGATGTCCCCTTGGTCTGCCCACCTCTCAGTGGCCTGGTGTTTATACACCACGTGGGGCCGTGAATGGCCGGGCTGGTTTGGAGCCCCATCCAGGGGCTCAATGAAGTAGTCCTCACCAGACAGCCAGAAAACTCCTTTCTGGGAAGGAAGCAGCAGGGTCACATGGGGAGGGCTGGTGCCTGGCTGCCCTTCCCACCACCCAAGATCTGTCCTGCCCCGCTGAACCCGCCCTGTTCCTGCCTCAGAGAGGCATAGCATTTCTCTCCCTCTGGACCTCTGTCTATACTCTGTCCTCCTCTGGAATGTCCTTTCTGCCCTCTGCACAGCCATAGCCTTTGAAGCAGACTTCAGAGTCCCTCTCTTAGGATGCTGTGTCCCAGGCCCACCCCACGAGGAGAGAGAAACAGTCTGCACCTAAATCTGATGACAATGCTCTCTACAGAGTCCCATATGTTGACTCCAGCCCAGCAGCCCATGCCCTGCCCAGGCCTTCAGGCTACTTTGCTACTCCAGACACTGTGCCCCTCCCAGCTGCCCAGACCTTTTGATGTGCCCTAGGCATCACTGATGTGGTGGTCACTCCACAAGCAACCCTGCCCACATCCAAGCCACTAGGATGTCCACGGCAACCAGAACAGACCACTCCCTGGGTTGGCCAGAGGTGGGATACAGACAGAGGCGCCTTGGCAAGTCCATCCAGAAAAGGGAGAGAGTGGGGAGCACCCTAAGGCAGCCCACCTCCCTGGGATATTCGGGACTCCAACAGGGATGACGGTGTCACCTCCCTTAAATCTCCCCTCTCTGGTACCAAATCTCTCCCTGCTTGGATTACAAAGGCCCAAGGAGCTTGGAGGGCAGGCCAGTGCATCCACTGGAGACCAGAGACCCAGCCTGAATGTAGGCCTGAGCTCTCTGCAGCCTGTGCTGGGGTTGCCCTGTCCTTAGGATCTCTGCTACCACTTATCCTTCACCCGAGACATCTATGTGAGGGCTCTATGGGAATAGTAGATGGCCAAGAATGTACACCTATCTCCAATGCTCCCACACCCCAACCTCAGAGCTGGGAGGGCAGCACTGGGCGCAAAGCAGGAGCAGAATGGGGCCCAGTGCCACCCACCTTAGCACGAGTGTCTCTGACAGCTATAGCAGGGGAGGCAATGAGGGTGCAAGGCCCAGAGACTGAGGTCTATTTTCCCCAGAGCTCTGATCTGAGCAGAGGGGCTGAGGGGCCTGAAGCCTCTTGTAGACAGGCTAAAGAGCAAGGGGAGGGTTTGCGATTTATATCTAGATGTCCCCCAAGAGCCTCATACGCTCAGACATGAGGCTCGTCGAAGGTGACTGGATGATGGGACTTATAGCTGACTTACTCTTAGGAGGTAGGGCCTGGCCTGAGAGGGTCTATTTTCTACCCTGGCTATGCCCTCTACTCTCTCTGCCTTTGGCCTGTCTGCCATGAGGTGAGCAGCATTTTCTCTCTCATTCTCTGCCATTGTTTCTTCTTTGGAGCCTGCAGACCATGTACTGAAACACGAGGCAAAATAAACCTCCTTTACATTGTGGGTGTTGGGGATTGTCTCAGTGATGAGGAAAGGGAGTAAGATGGGGCTCTGTCCAGGGAAGACTAAGGGGGTCTATGGAGGAGCAGGCCCAGCTGACACCAAACCCAGAAGGTCAAATGATCAGCTCCACAGTGGTGTTCCAGGTGGGTCCTGCAGCATCCGTGCTGCATGAGACATTCTCAAAAGGGCAAACCCACACCGGCTTGTCAAAACCCAAGGGTAATTCTGGCTCAGGTAAAACTTTGGAACCTGCTGTCCCAGTGAACAGGCCCTGTGCTATCACAAGGTTAGCAGAGGAAGACACAGTGCATGACCAAATCACCAGACCACGCAGGGTCCCTGACTCACCAACCCATCGCAGGCGCTGATGGCTGCCCGGCCACCCTCGAGCTGTGGGTCCTGCACATGGCCGTGCAGGTGGCAGGCAGGTGTGTGGGGCCGGATGTGCGTGTGGCCCAGGTTACCCGTGCGCCGCACCTCGAGCACAAAGCCTGGTGCCAGCAGCTGCGCATTGGCTGAGAGGTTGAAGCGCAGCTCCTGTCCGCGATAGTGAAGCTGGAAGAAGGTGGGTGTGGCATGGGACACAGGCCCTGAATCTGCATCTGTATCTAGCGCTGCCCGCTTCTTCACCGTGCGTGGCCAGAGATCAAAGGACAGGAAGGTACCAGTTGCATCCACTCGCACTGGGTGCACGATGTCCAATGACTCCAGGCTGTCAGGTGCAAGTCCTGCTGGGAGAGAGAGAACCATGACCATGGATCCCTGTGAGAGGGTCCTGGGCCAAGATGCCTGGGTTCAGGTGCTGCCGTGTGCCTACTAACTCTGCCACTTCATCTCTGGTGACTTCTCAGGTGCCACACTATCCACCCCGGGAACCCCAAAGGGATCTTGATCTGACGACCAAGGTCTTCCTCTGTTCACAACTTGCAGCTGCTTCCCTCTCAGAGTGACAGACACAGTTCTGGTGGTGGCACATGGTCCCCAAGGAGGGAATGGCCCCAACCTCGCCTCCATCTATGCTTCCGTGCATCCCTGCACTCAGCCATGGCATCCTTGAGGTTCCTGGCCAGGCCAGGCTGGCTCCTGCTTTAGGGATTTGCATCTGTTCTCACTCTGAGCCCTCTTCCTGGTTTCCCACAGGCTAACTTCACCTGCTTGCCTGCGCTGCATTTCTCCTCAGTGAGACAAAATGCTGACTCCACCATCTCTACCCCCCAGGATTCTAACACACATTTTCATTATGTTTTCTATTTGTTTTCTCCCCCTCCTCCCAGTGTAAATTCTACAAAGGCAAAGACATTAAGTGCTGCAAGTGGAGATATTCGCTGACTGAATATGCAAGATGAGGACAATAATAGAACTTACTCTCGGGGCTGTGAGGAGTAGATGAACTGTTTCTCCACACAGTGCCTGGCCTGCTGCTTGGCTGAGCCTGGAGGCTAAGATGATGGCTACAGCTGTTACTATAAAACATGCTGTCACCTGCCTGAGGTTGCTGCAGGTGTCTCCAAGCCTCCTGGGTTCAGGAGTTAGAGAAGGATACCCAGAAGCACCTCCGAACTCACCATTTCAAAGGAGCTGCTCTGGTTTCTTCAAGATGCAAGAGCTAGCCAGCTGCAGTGGGTCACGGCCCGTAACCTCAGATTATGCTGGAGGCTGCGGTAGGGTTCCAAGTTTGAGGCCAGCCTAAGCAACTTACCAGGACTGTTTCAAAATTAAATGAAAAGAGCTGGGGATATAGCTCAGTGGTAGAGCAGCCCTAGGAATCCCTTCCTAGTATAGAAGAAAAAAATAAAAAAGCAGAGTATGAAATTACATGGTCCTTTAGTAATTTGCTAAGTAAGACCTCATGGGAAACTTGGCAACTATGGTAATTTTGAAGTATCAATGAGTGTGTATCTCATCGTGGGTTACCTCAACTCTAATGATAGAAGAAAAATGGTTTTTTTCCCTTCCAGTAGCAAAATCACAGATGCTGCTAATGCTATTGAGATTTGTTGGTAATATCCACAATTGAAGAAAATAATGAGTTTCACTTGGAGATTAGAAATATTAGAGATGTAGTTTTTGGTAATTTTGAAGTATCAATGAGTGTGTATCTCATCGTGGGTTACCTCAACTCTAATGATAGAAGAAAAATGGTTTTTTTCCCTTCCAGTAGCAAAATCACAGATGCTGCTAATGCTATTGAGATTTGTTGGTAATATCCACAATTGAAGAAAATAATGAGTTTCACTTGGAGATTAGAAATATTAGAGATGTAGTTTTTTAATACAAATTACGGATCCCTGAAATCTGTGGTCCTTAGTTACAGACGCCAGGTTCAGATACCTATAGTAAGATCTGGACCTCTGATGGTAAACCTTTTAGAGCTTCCAATGATACCAACAGTCCACTGTATCCTAGACTGTCTTCCGGGTGAGAAAGCAGAGGAAAGAAGGCTGAAAGAAGGGAGACTCACAGAGCCTGGCAGAGCTGAGATTTGACTATATTTCCCGAATGGCTTTTATCTCTTCACTAATATTCCTGTTTTCTCAGCAGTCTGTCAGAGGTGGGAACCTCAGTTTCCCCATCATTAATGGGAAGAAGTTGGGTTACATCAAGTTTTTCAAACTTCTTTGACCATCGTACCTAATCTCAAAAAGAATCTCATGTGGACACCGATATACACTAGAGCAGTGTTGCTTTGGGGAGGTGTGGAGTACCCAGGACTCATGCTCTTGTCCTCCATTTCCCTTTGCAGCCCCCAGGCTCTGAGAAGCCACCAGGAAATTCACCTATCTGAGGTCTCCCCCAGGTCCAGGTCCTTCCCAGACCAACCAGGTTTATGCCCAGCACCTGGATCCCCACTAGTAATAACAGGGACAGCAATGCCTGGTCCCCTGCAGATGTCACACCAGGACTCTGTTGTTGCCCGACAAAGCTGGCAGGGAGGCTGGGCCTAGCTGGAAGCTCCCTCTGGCCATACTACAGAGCCAACTTCACCCTCTCCATGTCTCCCGTGTGTCACGGGTATGGAGAATGCCCTGCACATGCCAGCTGTATGTCTGCTGCTACAGGCCTCACTGTCCAAAGCTGCCCTGGTGGGCAGGCCACAAAGAGCCTTCTCTGGGAGTCCCTGGCGGGTGGGGTGGACTGGGGCTCTGAGCAAGTCTTTCCATCACAGAGCTTCAGGGGGGGAGAGCGCAAAGATTTTCCAGACTTCCTGGACAGGAATGTCTTTTGAAATGTCTCAGGCCCCATCCCAGGCTCACTGACTCAGCATCGCCAGGAAGCAGGACTAGGAAGATGTTTTTCTATCAGTAGCCTGGGGGAACTCTGACCATGAGGCAAATTAGGAATCTTTTCCTGGAGTCAACTTGGCTGCCCAAGATCCATACCTACAGTGCTTTGAAAACTTCAGGCCCAGGGCCCAACCCAGAGATTCCCCCAGGCTCTGAAATCTCTGCAGTTTCCTAAGACATCCCAGGGATTCTGATGGGGCCACTGCACTTGAAAGATGCTGGGCGTGATGAGTTAAAGTGACTTACTTCCCTGGTCTCTTAATCAGGCGTTTGGGACTACAACTACAATCCATAGCCTGAATACTTGTTTTTGTCAGCCTATTCATTTTTTTTAGTTTGTTTTGGCTGGCACTGAAAAACATTTAGTCAGTTGACAGTGTCCAAGAATCCCATGATATTCTATAAAAAAATTTCAACTTTCAGCTTTTCTTGAAAAATCATATTATCCATCCATATCAGGCCTAAATTTCTACCTGGCAGAAGTAGCTGGGATGGAAGAGTGGGTCCTTTCTAGAGGGGCCTGTCTCCCCGACCTGCCTCAGTTCCTGCCACTTCCTATTATGCCCAACACTGTGGCTGACTGTAGGTTGCCTGTGAGCATCACCTTTGTGTTTTCTTTCACTCCGTAAAAATTGAATCTCTAACTAAAATGTAGAAGAGACACACCAAGAGGCCCCATTTGCAAGGCAGTCTCTCTCCTTGTCAGCCTCTTTTGCTCATTTCTGTTATTTTTTATCTTTTGCTACTGGAAATCGAACTCCGGACCTTGAACTTGCAAGGCAGGCAGCGGCACCCTGGAGCTAAATCCCCAGCCCTGCTCATTTCTGTAATAAAAGGCTGGTGCATTGGTATTCGGTGTGTGGGCCCTGGTTACTAATCATGCAGCAGCATCAGGTTCTCCAAAGATCAGAAAAATACAAAAGACACCATGCTAGCCTTAAAACAGAGGAGTGGGCACAGGGAATCTATGGCCCCCACCCCGAGGGCAGAGACACACTATGAAGGGATCGCAATGAAGAAATGCCTCATCAAAGAGGATCCACTGAGATGTCCCCTGACATAGGGGACACAACCAGCTGTGGAGATAGGGAAGGCATCTTGGGGTAAGGACCATGTCATAGGGCTTCCAACAAGTGGGGGAAAGCTAGAAAGGAAGAGAAGAAGCAAGACATTAATTACCCTTAGCACAGACACATATTGTGAAATAAGACAATGGAGTGACACCATAATACACTGTCAAGTGCATGGGCTTTGAAGGTAGAAAGACCTGGGCGCAGCTCCACTACACATAGCTACACCATAAACCCTGAGTACACGAATGTTTATACAATTGCTGGCATATTACAAGCGGGCCATGCAGCAGCTGTATGAGGTCAGTCATGCCACTTCTCTGAGCCTCAGTCTGCATGGAGAATCCAGGTCACAAAACAGGAGGTCAGCCCAGGTTGAGAGGTGAAATAGCAACGAGATAGAGAATAAGACGACAGCTACTCTCCAAGCCTTTGATATATGAATGTCACCAACAGTTCCCAGAGTAGGAAAACCATAGCCAGGGCAGCCAAAGGCAAGAAGTTCAGGTGGTATTGATGAAACCCAAGCCTGAAGTCCTCATGTGGAAGGACAGAAGCTACTGGCACATTTTTTAGGAACAGCAGTGTCCTCAAACGAAGGGTAGGGGCTATCTGCTGGGGAAAATGGTCCCTGTTCCCAGGGAGGGACCTATGCGCTCATGGATGTGTAGTCCTGGTCCCAATCCCTGCCCTAGACAATAGGCAAATATTGCAAGATGGGAATTCTAGTTGAGTTGTAAAGAAATAGCCCATTGAATTCACAAGCATGAATGAGGTTGGGGTGTAGCTCAGTGGTGCAGTGCTTGTCTAGCATGCACCAAGTGGTGGGTTCGATCCTCCCAGCACTGCAGAAACAAAAGACCCATGAGCAGGGCCAAATAACACTATGGTGTGGGTAAAGGCCATTAGGATTAGTGTGCTGTGGAGCTGGAATGTCTGGGTTTAAATTCCAGCTCCATCACACATAGCTATACCATAAACCATGACTACAGGAATGTTTATACAATCGCTGGCACATAGCAAATGTGAGCCATATTATGATTGAAAATTAGCAAGAGAAGTTCTAAATTGCTCTTAGCTATTTCTTTTCTTATGTTTCTCCTTTCCTTCTTTTCACATGCTAAAGAAGTGCTCCATCACTGAGCTACACCCTGGCCCCCTTAGCTATTTATTTAAAAACTTGTCATCTCTGCCTAATGGCATAAAATTTTTAGTTAAAAGAATACCTACCTATAGGGGCTGGAACTTCAGTTCAGTGGCAAACATCTGCCTGGCAAGTGCAAGGTCCTAAGTTTGAACCCCAGTACCAAAAGAAAAAAAAATACTTATAGAAGGTTGTGACTTTACTGTCTTGTTTTGTTCTGAGTTATTTTTAGAATGAGCTTGTATTGTTTTGTCATTA